ACTGGCCATTTCGGACGCCAATCTTGAGGCGATGTTCAAGAAAATGAAGACGAGGCAATGGCTTAGTGAGTGAGTCAGCAAGTTGATCAGAAGTGTGAACATGAGAAACACGAAGTTGACCATTGGCGACTTGTTTTCGTACAAAGTGAAAATCAATAGCTATATGCTTCATTCGAGAGTGGAAAACTGGATTGGAACAGACGTATGTAGCACTTATATTGTCACAATAGATGACCGGAGTAGGAGATAGAGGCACACGTAGCTCTTGAAAAAGATTCATGACCCAATTGACCTCAGCTGCGGTGGAGGCGATTGCACGGTATTCAGCCTCAGTAGAAGATCGAGCAACTGTCTTTTGTTTCTTTGAACTCCAAGAGATTGGGTTTGCACCCAGAAAGACTACATATGCGGAGGTCGATGTTCGATCATTAGGGTCTCCAGCCCAATCTGCATCTGCAAAGGCATGAAGAGTTTGAGGGGAATTCTTACGTAGAACCAGCCCGTAGTCAAGAGTCCCTGCTAAATAACGGAGCAAACGTTTGACGGCACACCAATGGATTGTTGAAGGACAATGCATAAACTGAGAAAGCTTGTTGATGGCAAACGAGACATCGGGCGTGTTAAAGAAAGATATTGCAACGATCCAAGAGCTTGGCGATATAACGTGGCTTCAGCTGGCGGTGAACCATCAGAGAGTTTAAGAGCTTCATTGGTGGCAAGAGGTGTAGACACCGACTTAGCATCAGCCATATGAAAACGATGAAGGAGATCTCGTATATATTTCTTTTGAGATAGAAAGAGACATGTTCCTGTATGGTGCGCTTCAATTCCAAGAAAATAAGAAAGCCTGCCAAGATCCTTAAGAGAAAAATGTTGCGCAAGTATGGAGATGAAAGCATTCATATGAGAACTTGACGATCCAGTAATTATAATATCATCCACATATACCAACAAATAGAGAACTGAGGTAGAAGAGTGAAGCATAAATAGGGATGTGTCAGAAAGAGAATTGGTAAACCCTTTAGAGATAAGGGAACTGACGAAGTTCATGATACCAAGCACGAGGAGCTTGTCGAAGTCCATACATGGCTTTTCGTAATTTACAAACATGATTAGGAAGATCATGTTTGATAAACCCAGGAGGTTGTTCCATGAATACTTCCTCAGTTAGAGATCCCTGCAAAAACGCGTTATTCACATCAAGTTGACGAAGTTGCCAATTGTTAGTCACAGCAATTGAAATGAGTATCCGAATTGTTGCTGGTTTAACAACAGGACTATAAGTTTCATCGAAATCAATTCCAGGGCGTTGATGAAACCCTTTTGCTACTAACCGAGCTTTATAACGAGCTATCGACCCATCAGGATTCCTCTTAATTTTGTAGACCCACTTACACCCAATAATGTTTTGTGTTGGAGAACGGGGAATCAAAGTCCATGTATTATTGGAAATTAAGGCATTATATTCATCATGCATGGCTAGACGCCATACTTGATGTTTGTGAGCTTGTTTAAAGGTTGTAGGTTCGGTATTAGGAGTGACGACGGTAGAGTTGAGACTAAGGATCTGTTTAGGCTTTTTAATGTTATTACGTAGTCTAGTGTTATAGTGATGGGGTTCGTTAATAGTGGGAGAAGAATTAGGAGATATATGAGATGAAGTACTTACCTGTGAAGGATTGGATGCATCATTGGGTTGAGACATGGAGGAGGTGTGTGCAGATGAGTGGTCGTGGTTTAAAGCTTCAGAAGTTGGTCCACCTTGTAAATCAGTGTGATGATTTTGAGAAGACTGTTTTTCCGTCGACGGGGTGGAAGAGACAGGAATTTGAGATATATGTGAGCTGGTTGCGAGAGATGGTGAGAGGGGATTATTTGAAGTAGAAGTGCGAGCATGCGTGATATTTGGTTTAAGTAACCATGCATTACTGAGAGATGGCTTAGTGGGCGAATTAGGTTTATTAAAGGGCAAAATATTTTCCACGAAAATTACATGTCGAGAGATAAATATTTTGTTCATAGATGGATCAAGACAGAGATATGCGTGATGAGGAATTGAGTAACCGACGAATACACAAGGACGAGATCGTGGTTCTAATTTATGAGAGGAGTATGGTCGTAGCCATGGATAGCAAAGACAACCAAATACTTTGAGTGACGAATAATTTGGTGTTTGCTGAAAAAGGTGAAAGTAAGGAGATTTATTATCTGTGACAGGAGAGGACATACGATTAATGAGGTAAACGGAAGCTTGAAAGGCCAAGGACCAATACTTGAGTGGAATAGATGCATGATGAAGTAAAGTGAGCGCTGTTTCAACGACGTGGCGATGTTTGCGTTCAGCAGTACCCACATGCTCAGGAGTATGAGGTGGAGATTTAAGATGTTGAATGCCCGTCCGAGAGAGAAAATGACCAAGGCTAATTGCTTCGCCACTTCCATCTGTATAAACGGTTTTAATTGTGGTCGAGAAATAATTTTCTGTGAGGGTTTTGAATTTTTCAAAAATTGTGGTAACATCGGATTTATTTTTAATTGGATAAAGCCACGAGTATTTGGTAAAATAGTCCACAAAAATAACATAGTAACGAAAATTATCGTAAGAGACAAAGGGAGCAGGGCCCCAAACATCCATAAAGAGAACTTCAAGAGGTTTTGAGGGATTTAACGTAGAAATTCCAAATGGAAGTTTGTGACTTTTATTACATAAACATGCATTGCAAGGTAAAAATGAACTGTTTTTAATTAAAGGCAATTTATGAGAAGAAATAATCTGATGTAAGACTTTAGAAGACGGGTGACCGAGACGGCAATGCCAAAGATGAATCGAGGAAGGAGAGTTGGATTTTATAGCTGTGAAAGTAGAATGTTGTGTAGAAGAAGGTGGATTACTGATGGAGGCTGGCCACTCATATACATTTCCTCTACTCCGGCCTCGCACCAAGGATGCCCCCGTGCATGATTAGATCCTTCACAAGAAAGAAGCGAGGAAAAAATTCAATAGAGGCGTTATTTTGAGAGCAAAATTGAGAGACAGAAAGGAGATTTCTTTTTATATTAGGTGCACACAAAACATTATTAAGATTGAAGGTAGAATCACAATAATTAAGAGTAGTGAATCCTATATGAGTGATAGGGACATTATTACCATTGCCAACCATGATATCGTCATTACCGCCATACTCAGAGTGAATAGAGAGATTTTGCAGATCTGAGGTGATGTGATGAGAGGCCCCGGAGTCAACTATCCAACTTGATGGATTGTTCGAGGTTTCGTGAGTTGTGAAATTTGCTTGTGCCCAATTGGTTGGTGGCGGACGTGATCGGCATACCTTGGCAACATGCCCAGGTTTATCGCAGAGTTGGCAAACGACTCGAGGTTGGTTCGTGGTGTAGTTGGACCTCCAAATCTGATTCGATTGGTTCGGCGAGAGTTCCGGAGTGTTGTTGAAGTAAGTACGACTTCCACGAATGCCATTGAGATTGTGATGGAATCTATTGTTGGTGATTCCTCCAGATGGAAATTGACGATGGGAGGTGATGAAGTTTCCCCGTGTACCTTTCCTGTTTTGGTGCTTTTGTGAGAATTGGGCAGTAATGGAAAGTGCATCGGTTGCGGGATCTGAATTCTTGAGACTAGTTTCATAATCAACAAGCTTTTCCACCAGTTCCTCAAAAGAGATCGGCGACTCCCTTGCTCGTAAGGCGGCTTTGATTTCTTTGTAGTTATTAGTGAGACCATTAAGAGTGTGAACGACAATTTCCCCATCGCTCAAATCATGACCGATCATAGCAAGATCATCAATAATAGTTTTAACGGATTGCATGTACTCAGAAATACTTTTTCCATCTTAACTGACCTTGGTGAGGGAATCGATTAAACCAACCATTCGGGTGTTGGATTTGTTGGCGTAGGTTGTTTTGAGTTTGCACCAAGCTTCTTCGGCATTTGTGCACCGAGACACAATAGGTCCTGTTGGGCCTGTGACAGCCGTTTGAATAGCAAGGAGTAGCAAGCGATCTTGACGAATCCAAATTTTATAGGATGGGTCTTCAGGTGGTGGACAAGGATGAGTTCCATCAACGAAACCCATAAGGTCATAACCAAGTAGAAGGTTAGTCATTTGTGAACTCCATATAGAGTAATTTCCTTCTTTGGAGAGTTTGTTGGGGATAAGAGAGGCGGTATTGATAGATATAACATGAGGAAGAGAGGATGATTGGGAGTCAGCCATAACCGTGACTTCTTCCATGGTTGGAGAGAGGAGGAAAGAAAAAAAAAATTGATTTTTAGGGCTCTGGTACCATAAAGAAATGGTATTTTTACCAGTATATTTTATTCCATTCTTTTACAATCAATATATACACGTAGGTTTGTATCTATAAAAGGAAAATGGATCCTAAATAATTATTACACATATATATATATATATATAATATTACATAATGAATGGAGTAATATTTGCTGCCAAAGAATCTGCTGCATAATTGTATGTATCAATTATGCCTTGACAATAGCATCTCTTAATTCCCTTGATCTATCATACTTATTTCGAACAATCACCTTATTCAGCTACCTATAGTCAATACAAAGTCGAAGAGTGCCATCCTTCTTCTTCACAAACAAGACATGAGCTCTCCAAGGAGAAACACAGGGCCTAATGTATCCACCGAAACTCTATATCAGAAAGTTCGATCATAAGTCCCTGTTCTCTAACAAAACTAGCTGACGCAAAGGAACGCGTTGCACTGGCATCAAACAGCGCATGAGCATAAAATTTTCTAGAATATTACACTACTAAATGCGGACAACCAATGGAATTAAACTGAGACCACCATTGTCTCAACTCTCAACATAGACAAAACAATTGCAAATTATCACATCTTACAACTTCTTTTACACTCTTTGATTTACAAAAAAAAAAAAAAAATTGAAAAGAAATATACATCTAAATACTCTAACTATGTACGCAAACAGAATTTGGGGAAGCAAAATCATGACGAAAAGGACTTTACCTCCAGCACCACACAATGTGTATATATAAAATACATAACTTATGCTAATAATCACAAACTATTCACACTATATCCAACTAAACAATTTCCGAAATTGACAATACGTAGTTGCTTCTTCGGGCACAGACGAAAAAACGTATGATTTTTTCTTTTCTCTTCTCTTCACTATAAAAATGGCATAATTTAGTGGAACAATTTCGTCGGGCCAATCTTGAAAGATTGGAATAGTTAATCGAAATCGAAAACCAAAATCAAATCTGAATCTGGTTGAGCCTACTCGACCATATCGAATGCAGAATCATATGAAACAGATCGTACGGCACAGGTTTCGCATTCCAAAGAAAATGCCTCTGCAGCTTCTTCACATTCGTTTGCATGACAATGTATCTCTTCAAAGGGATCGCTAAGAGAATCTCCTTTAAGTTGGGAATATCCTTTTCGGCCACAACCACCGAAAATTCATCCCAATTGAGAACTTCGTTCAGCGGAGGGACAAAATTGTCCGCAATAATAACTGGGACGCATTCGTTATATATAGCCTCGACAATTCTCGGACTGTTGACTTCGAACCCCATCGGACAAATGCAGTACTTGCTGGATTTCATGTGCTGAGGGTAAGACAGTAATCTGGATGCTCTGTTTGGTAAAGGGCCGTAAATTCTCATGTCATCGTCTTTGTCGCTCCAGTGCTTGAGGAGCACCGGGCGGACCCTACCGTGCCGGTTGCCGGCAAAGAACGCGAGAATCGGGCGCTGCGAGACTCTGTTTCCGCCGAGATTTTTAATAGGTCTTTTAGGGTTTCGTATGGTTGTTTCTGGGAGAGAAACGTCTTTCCCAGCGACGAAAACTCCCTCGGAAACGTCGGCATTGCACAGAACTTTTATCGTGTTTCTCGAGAGTTCGTTGTGCCCCTTTAGTGTGTAAGGTCCCTGTTAAGTAAACTATTTTTGTTACAAAAAAATGCACCAGCTAAAAAACGAAAAATCATATTAACTGGTAAACGATTGTATATGTACGTACGCCATTAAAATAACATACCCAATCATGGCAAGCAACAAGAAAATGGTCGGACCCATGAGTACGGTTCCAGAACGGATACTTTGCAGCGAGCATATTGACGTAGCCGTGCAGAAAGACGGACAGTGGCCTCAGATTATGTGAATTGGGAACGTAAACCGCCATTTGCAACTGACGTGCACTGTACGGAAGATAGAACAAGTGAGCCTTTTCTGGGTCCTTTGTCACGAATTGCTTGTTTTCTTCCATCAACTTCATAAACCACCCTTCCGATGCATATATTCCAAACAGATGAGGCTCGTGGAAAATCGGACTTTCTCCATCTTCGTATATGTACACTTTCAGCATCTGCTCCATCCATTCATAGCTCCTGAATTTTGAAAAAAAAATATATATATATATATCATTTCAAAAAACGGAAAAAAAATATACAGGGCAAATTACGGCCACGCCCTGAGGTATGGCCAAATTACGAAAAACTCCCTCTTGTTTGGGTAATTACAGCTACCCCTCATTTTAAATATTTTTACATAAAATTTATGTAATTCGGTTATTTATCGAACCAAATCTTATATTCAGTTCGGTAAATGGTATGAAATGTTGGCGTACCGAAATTTCGGTTCGGTTTTACCGAATTAACATCCCTAAATATACCTCTGGAGGGGTATTTTTGTAAGATAATACATAATTGAGGGGGTGGCTGTATTTACCCAAACATGAGGGGGGTGGCCGTAATTTGCCCAAATATATATATGTATATATATATCACAAAGATTCATTCATGGCTATATTGACAATATATTATATACATTTCTGCAAAATGGCCTTCTTTGAGACACAGCTAATAGAAAAGCTAATGTTATTAAAAAACAAATGCAGAAGACACTGAATAACTTAACTACCAAAATCAAATATCATCCATGCGTGAAAATAAATAAAATCATTTAATTTAAAAACAATCAACATGTTATTTTGACAAGCACGCGACAACCAGCTCTCGCCGCGCCTTATTTGTTATTAACTGCAGGAGTCTTTGATTCTCCCAAACCCATTACCTCCCAGCTTGGATGTTAATCAGTTTAATTAAGTTACTTAAATTGATCGTTATCATTTAACTAATCTAACTTTTCTTAATCAAGTAACTTAATTAATTGATCCGATCAATTAAACAACTCCGTACGAGCTCCCTAATCCCATTATATTTTAACGTAACTATTCTAATTATAGCTCCAAATAATTAACACCGTTAGTTAATCTAATCCAACACCTAGGGTTATTTTCCGATTCGGTACACAAAAAACGAACCTCTTGAAAGTGGAGAAATTCCGAAACAGAGGAGCGTACAGTTCCGCATCATCATCCTCCGCCAGCGAGGCATTCTCGATATCTCTTTTAATAAATGCAAGAGCCTCATCTGGTTTCAACGACCATAAGTATTTCTAGGGAGAGAAAGAAAAAGAAAATAGTGTAATATAGAGAGATAACATTTTAAATTTTCGTAGATACGATAAAGCTAACAATAACGAAAAATATACCTTCACTCGGATCGGAATCTTTCGAACTATATGAGGTGGAGATGGAGGGGAATCCGCAACGATCGACTTTACTCTGTGTCTCCCCTTTCTTCGATGAGATACTCTTTTTTCCTTCTTAGGAATTACCGAAGATTGATTTTGTTTGACGAGGGAATTAAGTGAGTAAACTACGGGGACAACCCGAACGGTTTCGAGTGGGGGGCCCACCGCCAAAGAATGACTTTGACCTATATGTAGTGTTGTATTCAGAGGTTTGTATGATGAAATTACAGTTTTGTGTGGCGGCGAAATCCAATCGGCCAATGGGTAAGGGAGAGACGAAATCTGTAACAAAACACTACCCACGGTAAAAACGGAGCATACGAGAAATAACTTTTTCCAGTCAATTCTGAACATCATAAATACTATGATTGTTCGAAACAGCTTCGCCATATCTATTTAATTTATTCGGTCTGTTTGAGCCTCGTATTTTTTGAAGGGTCCGATTTCGGAAATTGTACAAAGTATACAAGTAAACCACCCACACTTGACTTAGCTGATTGATGAAGAATTTGTGCAGTTCCAGCATGCCTAGTGTTTGATCGGAGAAAAAACTTCGATTCTGTCGTATAAAATTGATATCAATAATTATTAATTTCAATCAAACTATACTCAAAATTTGTTCATAAAATCTCAATAAAAAATTTCTCATTAACCGAAACCAAAACCGAAACCGAATTTAACACAAATAAGCTTATTACCACTGAAATAGGAAAGAGAAAAGGAAAAACATTTCAATTTCCTGGGCAAAAAAAAAAATTAATAACAAGAAATTTGACGAAAAATTAAAGAATAAAAGAAGCTAAGCACATGAAAAAATAAAAAAAATAAAAAAAAAAATAATAAAAAAGAAAAAGAAAAATCAAACAAGAAGAAATAATTTCCTCAAAAAAAAAACCCTAAAACATGAGCTCAAAAATAAAATGAATTAGGAAGGAAAAAACTGACCACAGGGTACGAAAAAAAAATGGTATAATTGGAACGCCAAAGATCAGGTATGTACGTATATGTAATTATGTAAGCTATGGTGGAATCATGAGCAGTCAGAACGACGTCGTTTGTGAAATAAAATTGAGGACCGAAAATGGGGGAAAAGGGAAAAAGAGGAAAACGAAGGCGTGAAGGAAGAAGGAAGGTGGAGGGAAAATAGCGACACAAACACAGAATAACGGCTTCCACATTTTTATATTGTCATTGTGGGGGGCGGTCAAACGTTGACTTTCTTTCATTTTTCATTTTTCTTCTTTTGAAGTTTATGATTGCAATTAGGGTAAATTACAACGACACCCCTGGTACAGTTAAATTACGAAAAACAACTCATGTTTGGATAAATACAACTATCCATCAACTATGAATTTTCTTACATGTTCACCCTTATAGTGTCAAATTCAACATAATTTTCTAGATTTTGTGGAGTGTTTCTCTAGTTTGTACTTGCTTTGTGCAAAAATGCAGTTTTTTATGCACCACAATCTGATATATACAAGCCCAAAAACAGACCTTATGATCACGTTGCTTCAAACTGTGGAACTCAAATGGGATAAAACGGGTACAAATTTGAGAATATTCCATATAATCTATAAAATTCCACTAAATTTGACACCGCAGGGGTGGACGTGTAATAAAATTTATAATTGAGGAGTGGGCGTAATTACCCAAATAAGAAGGATTTTTTCGTAATTTGACCATACATCAGGGATAGTTATAATTTACCCATATAATTAAAATTATAATTATAATCTTTTAAGTTAGTTCTCATTCTTCAAATTGTTTATCTAAAAACTTTTTTCAAATTTAGATACATTCAATTACAATTTCTTGCGGTAGTAAAATGTAATTGAAAAAAACATTATTTCGGGCTAAAAAACATGATTTTCACTCGGGTACCAATATTACGGTTCAACCCGTCAACTACAAGACAATGGTTCTCAGTTTAAGCAGTTTAACCAGTTCAACCGGCCGATCTGGTCCAAGTTTCAAAACATTGGTTTTAGCAATTAGAAATAACACATTTTCTTTATACAATTCTCTCTCTAAAAAAAAAAACAATTAATTGAAATTTAAAACCCTAAAAAAGAACAGTTCAACGAATGAAAGTCAACCAATATTTATGCAAGATGTGTATGTTATATATCCCAGCAAAAGTTTTTGGTGGGTCCTGTAAGTTGTTTCTTTATTACTCTATTGCCCACTAATATTTCATTTTTATTTTCTCCCCAATTGCAGAACATGCCATTATGCAAAATGATTATTGTTGATCTTGTAATCATGGATATATATCTCTTTCCACCGGCAAAATAAGATAACCTATTCATGAACTATGGTAATTTGTCAACTAAATATTGCACGAAATCTACAAAATTATGTTGAATTTGACATCATATAGAGGATGTGTAAGAAGATTCATAATTGGGGGGAGTGGTTGATCAGCGACGAAGCCAGGATTTTATAACTATCTTGTGAATATACACTAAATAATTGAATTTCGGGGGTCCGAGGGAGCCTCCAAAAAAAAGTTTAGGATTTATTATTTTTGACAAAACCATGAGATATGAAAAGAAAATCTTTGAGGACCTTTTTTTTTTGTACTAATTGGACTTTGAATGGACTAAATAATATAAATTGAGTAGACTAAATAAATATATAGGTATAATGATCTAGTGGAATTTTTTTCAATTGAGCATCCGTTTGAGTATACTCATTTATTATTTTTCTATGTTTTCTTCAATTACGAATACTTAATTTTACTTTTTATATAAATCTAATTTTTTAATAATTATTGGAGCACAATACAAATACAATAAATTATATATACATATATAGTAGTAAAAAAAATTAAAAATTGAGGGATTTTTTCATAATTATCCATTAGTAGTTGTAATTACCCAAATTAAAGTTTTTTTTCCGTAATTTAGCCTTATCACATCAGCATTCATCGTAATTTACATTCGTCGTAATTTACCCTACTTTTAGATTTAAAAGGTATATGCGATTGGCTGTCATCACATGGGAAAAAAAAGAGTTGGTCAAGTATTTTCATCATTCTCTCGTGCATTTCTTAGTGGTCCGTCTAACAGAAAGAATGAATATTTTGAGTGCAGTCTCTTTTCTTTGTTCTCAAGCAAAATTGAGTGGTTGTATTTGTCCATCGTGATCAAATATATATATATATATATATATATATATATATATATATATATATATATATATTTATATATATTCTAAAGGAAATTTGAGTAGAGTTCTATTTTTTCATTATTATTTTTTTGAAGAAATTTTCATCTTTCATTATGTTACTAGTTTCTCAGTTTCTCCAGCGAATCCTATTTTATTTTTCAATATTTCAAATATAGAGGTGAAAATAGGAGTTAACACCATTTTATTAATTAGCATATAAAATAATTATTATAACTAATTTCACGTGATTACCGAATTATTATCATATTTATAGTAAATACTTTAGTGTTAATTAATAAATAATTTTTTAAAATATAAATAAATTTGTTATTAATAAAAAACATTGATTTTAATAAATATAAATATGCTTATTTTTAATTAATTAGTATTTTTTGGTTTCAATGTCGATTATTTCAGTTTTTAGCTCACTTAAATACACTAATCATCTTATCTTATATATAAAAGAAAGAAACGTTGGGCAACCCTAACAAAACGCTAATGGCTCATATTATATATAAAAGAAAGAAACGTTGGGCAACCCTAACAAAACCCTAATGGCATTTATGTTAATATTTATTTTTAATATTTTTTCATTACTAATTTTTAACTATAATTTGTAACAATTATCAAAATTAAAACTCAACTGGAAAGAATCCTACCCTAATGGTTAAATCTTAACCTATATATTTGGATTATAAATCTTAATATGTAAAATTTAAAAAAACTAATGATATATAATATATGAAAATATTATATTATTAAATTTTACCATGTTAGTGTACTATATTTTTTTTTTCTTATTTTGTATTAAATATATATAAAAGAAAGAAACGTTGGGCAACCCTAACAAAACCCTAATGGCATTTATGTTAATATTTATTTTTAATATTTTTCATTGCTAATTTTTAACTATAATTTTTAACAATTATCAAAATTAAAACTCAACTGGAAAGAATCCTACCCTAATGGTTAAATCTTAACCTATATATTTGGATTATAAATCTTAATATGTAAAATTTAAAAAAACTAATGATATATAATATATGAAAATATTACATTATTAAATTTTACCATGTTAGTGTACTATATATTTTTTTTTTCTTATTTTGTATTAAATTGATTATTTTTTTTCACTTTTGAAATAATATCCCGTGCATCGCACGGGGAAAAAATACTAGTATATTTAAAAGTAAGAAACACTAGGGCAACCTAAGAAACCCCTAAAGGCTTAATTGTAATTTTTTAAATATTAATTATTAGTATTTTTTCATCTCCTATATTTTCCAGCTTTTATTCTCTAATGACCTTCAAAGCAAATTAGATTTGCAAATCCGCTAGCGAAATTCTAATCCATTCGGATAAATTTTTTTTTTTACTATTACCATCTCTTATACACACATATATAGATTTATTTAATTTAATTATTATATATTTAAATTTTCTTCCTATCTGCAATCTCGTGCACCGCATGGGGAGAATTGCAAGTTAGTATTAATAAAATATAATAAGCAACTATACACTGATTAATGAAGCATACTTTAATTGATGAAATACATAACGAAGCCTATAATATTTATATTTTTGTTTTCTTTATATTATACATCAAAATTGATTTAGTCTTTATATATTTTTCCCTACGATTTTAGTCCTCAAATTAACGATTTTTTTTTTTTTGGTCCGTGGTATGAGTAAGGAGTTAGTTTGAACGGAAAAGTTGTGTATGTTGCACATGAGGATGCTTACTTTACCTTCATTTTTATTTAGTCTCATTTTAGTTTACCCTATAATTTCATCCCAAAAACTACTTTTTATTTGAAAAAAATAAAAAAAATTAACTTGTAGGAAACCCTTACATATGAAGACTAAAATGTCCTTTTAACTAATTTAAAAAAAATTGTTCAAATCGTTAATTTTCATATCACAATTAATAATTTACTTTACCACTGAAGAATAAAATAGAACACAAAAATAATAAACAAAATCAACATTTACCGACGTTTCCACTTCTCCACCATGTTGCTATGGACCCAATTCTAGTCACTAACAGCGAAATTCTTTTCGCAAAGAAAAAGGAAAGATGTTTTTTTACCATATGCGGAGAGGGTGGACAATGAAGATATAATATTAATTGTTCGTCAACTTCATCTTTTCATTCCTCTTGTCGGAATTCTTCTGACCAACTTATCAACGAACATTAAAAAAATATGAATATATAGATAAGTGTCTAAAAAAAGGCTAAGGCTGTGAGCATTGATGGTTGAAAATCGAGGGTCGGGCGACGACAACTATGAAAGTGATAGAGTATGAGAGTCATCAGTGCGTGATGTCACCGACTTGAACCTCGACTAAGGAGCGTGCGAGTGTGTCTGCAAGTGTTTAAGAAAGCACACAAGTGTTGGAGAATATTAAAAATAATTTATTGAACGGATGATGATTACAAATGAATAAGACTACCCCTATTTATACAACTCCACCTCATCAATGGATGGTGGTGATCATCTATGGCTATGATTAACTCCTACTCCTACCAAATATATACGGAGGAAGATCATCTAAGGATCCCTACATCAAAATGAAGGATTCTGGAAAATCTTCTAGAATCTTCTAAGGATCTCTACGATTGGGCCTATTTGGGCCATCTTCCATTGGGTTTGCTTGGTTGATCAACTTTAGCCCCTTCACTTCATGGCAAAATGGGAGGCCCATAACATTCTTCCCTACCTATAGCTACGTTCTCGTCTTCTCAAACACCTCGATGATGTCCGCGAAATGCCACAAATATTCATTGGGTTCCAACGTCATCTCGAATTCGGG